ATGTCCAGGATGTGAGGGGTCAATAGATATTTTCACAGCCCTCTTTGATTTGTGCAATATACAGGTCCTCAATGGAAGGCAGGTTGGTAGCAATTGTTTTTTCTGCTGTTCTAATTATCCATTGAAGTCTCTGTCTGTCTTGTTGGGTTGCAGAGCCAAATCAGACAGTTATAGAGGTGCAGATGACAGTAACTCCTTCCTCTGTAGGAATTATTGTTTTGCCATCACATTGGAAATTCTACGAACTGCAATTCAAAATGTCATCAAAGCACTAGGTGAGGAGTAATTGATTTAGATGTAGATTCACAGTTCTCACTTTTGAGGCCTTTTCAAGTACCTGATATGGTGTCCTGAAGAAATCTTGATTAAGGGACTTAGATATAATAGAAGAGAGAGAGAAATATCCCAAATCATAGCTTTTAACTTTAAATATTATTCTTTGATTATAAAAAATGGAAAGAAAATGTATGCTCCACCTTAAATATAACTTCTTTGAATTCATAGCTTCTACAGACAGTGCTGTACTTATTGTGTTTCACAATTGATGCTGTAGCTCTGTTTGTCCCTTCCCAAGAAGAGAAAGTGTCATCTACAGTGGTGCCTGTTAGAGATTTCATCTTCTCTGCATATGTATTTCCTGTTGGTTTAGTAAGTAATTACAATATCTGCTATTATTTAAATAACTCCATACTGTACTATAAGTCTATTAAATTGAATCAGAGTTGCTTAAAGCAGAGGTAGGGAATGATGTCCCCTTTATGACTTGTGGACTTCAACTCCCAGAATTCCTGAGGACATAATTTTTAGGAGTTGAAATCCACAAATCATAAAAGGACCATCGTTCCCCCACTCCTAGCTTAAAGGGGCATGAAATTTTAGATGGTTTTCTTAAGAACCACATGATCCTTTCCATAATCACAGTAAACAAGTATATCAACTTGCTTACTGATAAAATCAACAAAAGCAACATTGTTTTCTCAATGGTAACCTCATCATAGTGGATTGTTTATTATTTATTTTGTCCTCCAGTTTAGCACCAACATTTTTTCCATTGTAGCATTTGCCTAAGAAAATTGGTGGTTTTGTTCTTTAAAGCAGTCATGAGAGAGCTTGGCCTGTTGAAGAACAGAAAACAGATAGCAGTCAGTAAATGGTCAATTCTCATAATGAAGGGGCATAAACAAAGAGATGTGTGCAGAGCTCAGTGCTAGCAAAAGAAACATTAAATTGGAAAAAGGTCTAGATTTGGCTTGGAAAAAACTTTTCAGAAAAAAATTCCCAAGTGCGTCTCTATAAGAGTTGGCTCAGAAGTTGGTGACTGCTCCATTCTATGACCCTGATTTTCTTCCTAGTTATGTGTCCCACAACACTGAATGTGCAGTTCCCCCTTTGCTGCCCAGTATTCATGAATATACTACCACAGCACACAGGGAGGTCATAAACAAACACACAGGCAACATGCTACTTACACGAAAGAAAATAAACCACCTATGACCATTACTGCTAAAATGGTTAGAAATAATTTTATTTCTTTTATTATATACAGGTAGTCCTCGACTTATAACAGCTCATTTAGTGACTGTTCAAAGTTACATCGTCACTGAAAAAAGTGACATGATTATTCTTCAAACTTATAACCGCTATAGTATCCCCATGGTAATGTGACCTACCTTTGAATGCTAGACAACTGACTCACGTTTATGACAATGGCAGTATCCTGAAGTCATGTGATCCCGTTTTCTGACCTTCTGACAAGCAAAGTCAATGGGGAAACCACATTCCCATTAACGTCCATGTTATTAATTTAACAACTGCAGTGATTCACTTAACAAATGTGGCAAGAAAACTCGTAAAATGGGGCAAAGTTTGCTTCACAAATTTCTTACATCACAACATAAATTTCAAGTGCCCTTGGTCCCCTGACTCTCTCCTAGCCCTAGGAAGGAAGCAATTCGAAACCATGTCTGAAAATGTTGCCAAAATTTGAGGGACTTGCCCAAGCAGTTGCCAGCACTGACTAAAAGGCATTAAAAATGAATAATTTTTATAAAATACCTCTAGTCTCTAGCAGTAAAGATATAATCATGCATAAAAAACAGCAAATAAAATGGGATTTCCATTCAAGTAGGTAGGCACTGAAATACACATTGAGTGGTGTTCATTTATGGAGAGTCCTAAATTGGGGTTTTCAAGTGTTTTTAGGGAGTTAATTAAAAAATAAATTCCTGATCAAAAAACAGGGCTCAACTGATAAAAATATGCAATGAAGTGACACTTGTACACCTTATTTATGAAACTTTGTGTTAAATTTATTTGCATGTCACAAAATTGAAAGCTCTGAAAGTTATTGTCTCTGAAAGTTCCTCCACTTGTTTTAAAGTATAAAAAGTAACCTGATTTCCAGTGTACCAAAAATTATAATTTAAATTTTATAATAACTGTACTTGGGTGGTTAATGATTCAGCCAAGAAAACCAGTGTTCTGTGCCTATTTCTTTTCTTTAAAAGGTTCCTAGAAATGTCTTTTTATTCCCTCTCCTTCCTGGCATGGTTCTGGAAAAATTGCCTCTATATATCAGCTATTTGTATTTCAGATGAGAATTTCATTGGCAGCAATAGCAGATTTAAAATGCAAATAAAATTTGACAGCAATTTTTATTAACATAGGAAGAAATGTTTAATTTTCTCATCCATCCTACATTCTTTATTTTATTTTATTATGTAAAGCTACCTTTACATAACAAAATATAATGTTAAATATTACATAATATTTAGTTTTGATTTTTTAAAACAGGGAGATTGATCTGAAGTTGAGGAGAGGGCTTATAAATTAGACAACTAATAATTGATATGCTACCTGACTCCGTGCAACTTTATAGGTGCAGATACAATTGTATGTTGCACTGCATGAGCCAGAATATGTTTTAAGGTTCAATTTTTAATCATATGTTTATCTGGAGAAATTAAAACGATAATCATCTTATGTTCATACATGTAAAAAGGCAGTTTGTAAGATGGTGACTACCAGATTTCTAAAAAAAAATCCAACATTTGAGGTTCTCATTAATGTTCAGATGTTTTCTCTTAGTTTGTAGCTGTTGCTTTCTGGGGCCTTTATGCCATTGACAGAGAACTAGTGTATCCTAAAGAGCTGGATGATATTAATCCGAATTGGCTTAATCACAGCATGGTAAGTATTTGAAGATTAGGTTCTTCTTTTGACACGTGCAATTTGTTATGAATTATATGATCGGTATTTTAAATGGCCAGTCATATCTCAAGGACTTGTGCTTGTACTTGACGCCTCTTCACCCATCGTGGGTATAGGCGACTTCCATGGAAAT